GTGAATTGATTAAGGAACTGTGGTAGGATTGCTACCCAAACAGCTGGCAGTCACAAGCAGTTTGCCAAATGCTTACTGACCTCAACCACTGGGACTTCTCTGGCTGTGCATGTTTTGTTTGTTTGTTTGTTTGAATCGAAGTATAATTGACTTACAATGTTGTGCCAGTCTCTGCTGTACAGCAAAGTGACTCAGTTTTACACATATATGCATTCTTTATTTAGTATTCTTTTCCACTATGCTCTATCCCAGGAGACTGGATATAGTTCCCGGGGCTACGGCTGTGCATCCTTCTCCCTGTGTCCGCTTTCTCTCCCGTCACCCTGCTTCTTGTCCTCTGACTCTAGTTGGCCTCCAGTTGGCCTGGAGAACGCACGCATTTATTAAGAACAAAATGACAACCCACTGCCCCTTCTAGCTTCTGATATCAAAGCTTTTAGAAGGATCTGAGGGAGACTCTCAGCGTGCTCAGTTCTTCCTGAGAGACTGTTATACACCCAACTATCACTCCACCACCTTGCCCTACAGCAGTCAGTGAGGGAGGCCCAGAGAGTTCCCATGCTTTTATTAAGACTCTGCTCTCCTACCTGCGATACAGATTTGAGGGAGAAACACAAGGTTCTTCATGCTTCTAGTAAGGCCACCACTCCCTGCCTCTGTGACACTGCTCACCACTGCTCACTGCCCTATCTAACAGGGCAGTCCCAACAAGCAGCTCATAATTAGAACTGATGACCCACTTTTCCTAAGATGATGAGTAGCTCTCATCTCATCTTGACCCACATCCCTCTTTAACTTGGTCACCATGACAATTCCAAGACGCTAAGGTCTTCTTGAAGATAGCGTATGTAAGGGCCACGTGGAAATGGCTTATACCACTTCTGTCTACATCCCATTAGACAGGATATAGGTCAATGGGTGCAGCTTACGTACAAAGGAGACTGTGAACGTGTGACTAAGGAAGAGGAAAATGAAACGGCATTTGATGAACACAGACATTGTCTCTGTGGTGACACAAAGATCAGGGGGAAGACATTTTCTCCCCCCTTGATCTTTACTGATCAATACTGCCATGCTACAGAAAGGTCAGGTAAGATACGGAAATAAAAGGTCTGAGTTTTCAGTTAGGAAGTCCCTGGTCACATTTTAAAAGGTTGTTTCTGTGAAGTTATGGTGAAGTGAAAGAATGGGAGGTGAAGAAATGGATGCAGAGAGTATAAACTATTCTGTAGGAGATTCTAGTTCTATAAGATTATAGAAAGAGTGAAGTAAGTAGAAAAGAGTGCCTAAATGTGGGAGAATTGATGTTTCCAAGCTAATAAAATAGTAGTGAAGGAGAAATCTGAGATAATAGAAAGGGGACCATTCATGGAGGAAATCTAGAAGAATCCAGGAAAGGATGAGATGGGTGCAGATGAAAGTATTAGTCTTACACAGGAGGAATGACGCGGCTTCTTTTAAGATGTGTGGTGCAGTGGTTAAGAATCTGCCTGCTAATGCAGGGGACACGGGTTCAAGCCCTGGTCCGGGAAGATCCCATATGCTATGGAGCAACTAAGCCCATGTGCCACAGCTACTGAGCCCGCAAGCCACAACTACTGAGGCCCGTGTGCCACAACTACTGAAGCCCACGCGCCTAGAGCCCGTGCTCCGCAACAAGAGAAGCCACCGCAATGAGAAGCCTGCACACCGCAATGAAAGAGTAGCCCCCACTCGTCACAACTAGAGAAAGCCCGCGTGCAGCAGCAAAGACCCAAGCTTGGCAGCCAAAAATAAATTAAAAAAAAAAAAGATGTGTGGGAGGGTAGAAAGGGCAGGAGTTGAAGAAAAGTCTATAAGTGACGAACAGGAAGTGGAGGGAGTTCACATCTAATGGTATTTATTTTTGCAAAGGAGTTATTATGAGGTACTGATGGGCTAGTTTTGGGGCAGGAGGTGGGATTTAAGATAGGTGCCATGTGGAAGATGGGCTGAGCACAGAGAGTATACTACAGTAGTTAGGGCTCAGCTGAGTTTGGAGATCCCTTAGTGTAATGACACCAATATGCACCATTGTGCGGTTTTCTCCACCAACACACAACTCTCAAGGGCAGGCAGAACTTTGAACTGATCCAGCATCAGGGTCAAAGAAGGAAGGGTTTTTGTTTTTTGGGGGTTTTAAATTAATTAATTAATTAGGCTGTGTTGGGTCTTAGTTGCAGCATGCAGGATCTTCGTTGTGGCATTGCTTGTGGCGCGAGGGCTGTTTGTTGCGGCGCGCCGGCTTCTCTCTAGTTGTGGCAGAGAGCGCGCAGGCTCTCTGGTTGTGGCACACGGGTTTAGTTGCCCCGTGGCATGTGGGATCTTAGTTCCCCAACTAGGGATCGACCCTGCGTCCCCTGCATTGGAAGGCGGATTCTTAACCACTGGACCACCAGGGAAGTCCCAAGGAAGGGTTTTTGCATGAAGGTGAGAGAGTAATAGTCTAAGTAGCTGTGAGGAGCTAGAAAAATGTAGGCCCCTTCTTTTTACTTCATCTTCTTCCACCTAGTTTAGACCTTTATCATCCTGTTTGGATTATAGAAATACCCTCCGAGTTGGTTTCCCAGATTTTAGTCTCTTCCCCCTGTATCCATCGTACACGTGACTGCCAGCTTAATTAATCTCATAGAACAACCTTGACCATGTTTCAGTCTTGCTCAAAAACTTCAGTAGCTCCCTACCTCCCTACAGAATTAAATTCATATTCCTTAGCTCCACCCTCAAGGTTCCAGGCACAGAGCTGGTTTCAATTTACTGCTTTGTTTTATGCATCTAGTTTTATTTTTATCTATTTATTTATTTTTTAACATCTTTATTGGGGTATAACTGTTTTACAATGGCGTGTTAGTTTCTGCTTTATAACAAAGTGAATCAGTTATACATATACATATGTTCCCATATCTCTTCCCCTCTTGCATCTCCCTCCCTCCCACCCTCCCTATCCCAGCCCTCCAGGCGGTCACAAAGCACCGAGCCAATATCCCTGTGCCATGCGGCTGCTTCCCACTAGCTATCTACCTTACATTTGTTAGTGTATATATGTCCATGCCTCTCTCTCGCCCTGTCACAGCTCACCCTTCCCCCTCCCCATATCCTCAAGTCCGTTCTCCAGTAGGTCTGTGTCTTTATTCCTGTCTTACCCCTAGGTTCTTCATGATATTTTTTTTTTTCTTAATTCCATATATATGTGTTAGCATACGGTATTTGTCTCTCTCTTTCTGACTTACTTCACTCTGTATGACAGACTCTAGGTCTATCCACCTCATTACAAATAGCTCAATTTCGTTTCTTTTTATGGCTGAGTAATATTCCATTGTATATATGTGCCACATCTTCTTTATCCATTCATCTGATGATGGGCACTTAGGTTGTTTCCAATTTTCAGATTTATTGATAAGGATAGTCATCACAGTATTCCTAGTAGTGGGATTGCTGGGTCATATGGTAGTTCTATTTGTAGTTTTTTAAGGAACCTCCATACTGTTCTCCATAGTGGCTGAACCAATTCACATTCCCACCAGCAGTGCAAGAGTGTTCCCTTTTCTCCACACCCTCTCCAGCATTTATTGTTTCTAGATTTTTTGATGATGGCCATTCTGACTGGTGTGAGATGATATCTCATTGTAGTTTTGATTTGCATTTCTCTAATGATTAATGATGTTGAGCATTCTTTCATGTGTTTGTTGGCAGTCTGTATATCTTCTTTGGAGAAATGTCTATTTAGGTCTTCTGCCCATTTTTGGATTGGGTTGTTTGTTTTTTTGTTATTGAGCTGCATGAGCTGCTTGTAAATTTTGGAAATTAATCCTTTGTCAGTTGCTTCATTTGCAAATAGTTTCTCCCATTCTGAGGGTTGTCTTTTGGTCTTGTTTATGGTTTCCTTTGCTGTGCAAAAGCTTTGAAGTTTCATTAGGTCCCATTTGTCTATTTTTGTTTTTATTTCCATTTCTCTAGGAGGTGGGTCAGAAAGGATCTTGCTGTGATTTATGTCATAGAGTGTTCTGCCTGTGTTTTCCTCTAAGAGTTTGATAGTTTCTGGCCTTAGCATCTAGTTTTATACACAAAGTATTTGGATGGTATTGGGTGAAACTCTATATTACTTTACTAACACTAATCTTGGAGGACTTTCCCAAATGTGGTTTTGTTAACTCTTGGGAAAGTTTTTCCCACCCATCTCAGAATGTCCTTCAAGGTGTCTTTCAAGGGCTAATTCAAATGCAGATTCTCTCCTGTGTCACGTGATATGTCTCTTCTCTGTCCTCCTTTTTGAAAAAAATTCATTTTAAGCTTTATATTCTAGATAGTCATGTACCTGTTAAACCAGGACCGTGCCTAATTTATCACTGCATCCCAGTCCATTGTAGCCCCAGCTCATAACACCTAGCTCAGTATCTTGCTTTTTGTAGGTATCCAAAGTCAGCTGACTAAAGGCACACATGCATTCATGAATAAATGAGTAAAGGCATGAGTAGAACCCTTATAATGGTCTGGTGGGGTTAAGAACCAGAATCCTTCACTAGAAGGTCATCTCCTCAAGGTGTAGGGTTGATATTATCATTTTTATCTTTAGTACTTAGCACTGTTCTGGGAGAGTACTGTAAGCTAAGTATACGGCGGATACCCAGTAAAATCTTGGCAAACAGAATTGAATTAGGTGGTTCCATACCCTAGTCATTCTCAGTGTGTCGACCTCAAGTGCTCTAGAGAGTGAACAGGGCCTCTGACACAGCACATAGTTGTTTACATCCTGATTTGATTATCGTGACTAATGCTCTTATAACTGGACGGCAACTCACTTAACAGAGGCCCAATTATTCATTAAAGTCCTTGATTCATTGAATCATACAATCAGTTATGATTGATCTCTGTGTGATAATTTTATTCTAGACACTGAAGGAAAAAAAAAAAAAGCAATCTGTGAGAAAAGCAGACATCTCGCGTTTATAAAGTAACCTTCCCCTTTTCTCCTGTTTGGCCAGGCTGTGACAACATGCTGATGGGCATAAAGTCTCTGAAAATAGTGAAAAAGACAATGGACACAGTTGGCTCTTGGATGAAAGATGCTGTCAGAGACTCTCCAAAAGTTTATCTCTTAATTGGATCGAGAAACAACACTGTCTGGGAATTTGCCAGCATACGGGCATTCATGGAAGATAGCACCAAGCCAGCCCCCCGGAAGCTGATCCTAACACATTCCTGGCAGGGGACAGGCCAAGTGATCTACAAAGGTTTCCTATTTTTTCACAGCCAAGGGACCCCCAATGAGATCATCAAATATAACCTGCAGAAGAGGACCGTGGAAGACAGAATGCTGCTCTTGGGAGGGGCAGGCAGAGCCCTGGCCTACCCGCACTCCCCCTCGACTTACATTGACCTGGCTGTGGATGAGCTCGGGCTCTGGGCCATCCACTCAGGGCCAAGCATCCACGGCCATTTGGTTCTCACGAAAATTGAGCCTGACACCCTGGGAGTGGAACACTCATGGGACACTCCATGTAGAAGTCAGGATGCTGAAGCCTCATTCCTCCTGTGTGGTGTCCTCTACGTGGTCTACAGTTCTGGTGGCCTCAGCCCGCATCGCATCACTTGTGTCTATGATCCGCTGGGCGCTGTCATTGAGGAGAATCTGCCCACCGTGTTCTTCCCCAGACGGTCAAGAAGTCACTCCATGATCCATTACAACCCTAGAGATAAGCAGCTCTATGCCTGGAATGATGGAAACCAGATCATTTACAAACTCCAGACAAAGAGAAAGCAGCCTCTGCAGTGATGCGTTGCAGCCACGAGGGAGAGCGCCGGGGGATGCTGCTCTCCAGGAGTCGGAAGCCACAGCCCCTTTGCACTATAGAATCCCTCTAATCGCACACAGGGATAGGGGCTGGAAGTGGGAATGCGCACGCATCCTTTTCCAGATGGTACTGCCTTCAGTATCTTCCAAGAGCATAGATGAGAGTCTGTCATTCAGGAATTTTCAACAACTTCCATTACCCATCCAAACCTCCTGGAGCTCAAGGCCTTCCGCATTCCGATCCAGTTTACTTCCAGCCTTTTCTTTTACTAGCATTTACTCTAACTCTCCCCGCCC